GAGGAGAGCTGGATTGAGGTCTTCCCAGTCGGCCAGCGCGCACGTCGCGCCGAGATTCTGACGAGACTTATCATGCAGCACGACATGGCGGCGACGAACACGTTCACCGCGGCGGCCAGCAGAACCACCTGCCACTACGATTTCATGCGCCCGCCAGCCTTGATCGACTATGTCCTGACACCCGCGCGCGACATCTGGAAGGTCAGCACCACGTTCGAGGAGATCACCGACAGTGCGCAAACCGACCACTCGGCCATCAAGCTGGAGTTCACCCTCGGCACCAGGAGGCGCTACATCTGGAATGGAGGTCGTGCGCCTATGAAGGGCTGGGCCTGCCTCGACAACCGCTTCCGGCGCTGGAGCCACAGCGCACGCTGCCGACCGCAACCAAGCGCCGATCGCTTCCATGACGGACGCGGCGCACCTGGCTGCCGCTGCCTGTGGCAGGGGCCCGCCTGCGAGGAAGGTCCCCAAGCTCCCCGAGGGCCACGAGCTCATGCAAACGCTGCGGGTGTTAGAGGCACGCCAGCGGGTCACCCGCGACGGCGCGCGGCGCGCGATCTACAGCAAGGATACCATCCGGATTCGCAGGAAGATCTGGATTGCGAACAGGGCCCTGCAGCATTTCCTACACGAGGCGGGCAATCCCCGAGCACGAGCGCCTCGCCGAGCTCAGCCTGGCCCGATCCACAACCAGCTGATGAACATGGAGGGGGGATCGAGGACGACCCGCTGAGGACCAAGGAGCTCCTGGAACGCGAGTACGGCAACACCTGCAGGGCCAGCGACGGGGAGGGGCCTGTCGGGGCCTCTGCGTACCTCACCCACTTCACGACGGAGGATGTCCTCGATATCCCGCCCTTCCCGCCCGAGATGCCCCGCGAGGCTCTGCGCGACATGAAGACCATGAGGGCTCCTGGTGTGGACGGGGTGGTCGCCGGGGCCCTGCAGGTCCTCGCCTCGGGCTTCCTCGCCTCGCTCGCGGCCGTCTTCGGGAACCGCTTCCGCGGGGTGCCCGGGCAGGCCAGGGGCCAAGCCTGGTCCAAGCACATCATCCATCCAGCTCATGAATAAGAAGGGAGACAAGCGCACGCTCAAGGGGTACAGACCGATCACGCTCCTGACCGCCGTCGAGAAGCTATACTCGGTTGGCCCGATCAAAACATGCGCCAACAAGCTGACCCTGCGGAGCCCACAGTACGCCTATCGGAAGCACCACCAAGCGGTGGACGTGATCTTCCGCATGCGCATGCTGACGGAGAAGGCCCGCGAGTGGAACCGCCCCATCTTCATCATGGGCGGCGATGTAGAGGCCGCCTTCGACCGCGTCTCGCACCGCTCGGTCGAGGGGGGCACTGAGAAGAAGGGCTGCGCCAAGGCCCGTGATCCTAGCCATCATGAGGGAGTTGAACGCCTCGGCTGCGATCAAGACGGGCTCCATCCAGACGAAACCAGCACCTCGGACTCGCGGCGTTCGACAGGGGGGGCCCAGCCAGCACGATCCTCTTCAATCTAGTGCTGGGGGATGCCTGGGAGGAGTTCCCGGGCGAACGCTGGATGCGCGGCCGGGGCTACGAGTTCCCAGGCGAGGCGACGCTGTGCGAGGCGGGACGTCTCTACGCCGACAACTTCTGGCCGTTTGCGGGCACGGCCGAATCGCCGCGCCAGATGACGATGGCCTGGCGGCGCACCCTGCGAGCACGCGGCTGGTGCGCACCTCCCTCGGGTCTGATCTGGGGCACGACGGCGCTGGACCACGAGTTCGGCGACTACCAGATGAGGGTCGAGGATGGCGTCCTGACGCGCGCGCCTCGCGCCGAGGGTTTTCCACGCCTCGGCCCCGCTCCACCTTCGATGGAAGGTCTTGGAAAGACACGCAGCACAGGGTAGCCCGCGCCTGGAGAGCCTCTTGCGCTCCCAAGATGTCTCTACCTGGACGCGCCCGCCGCTGGCAGCAGGCCGCGAAGCTGCTCGAGCGAGCCATCAAACCTGTCTTGCTTTATGGGTCGGGATCGCGGCGCCCCGCGGTCAAGGATCTGAATCTAATTCGGGCCACGCACCACAAAATATTCTCTCAGCTGATTTGCACGCAGAGATGGAAGGAGGAGACGCCAAAGGATCTCTGTCGTCGCCGATAGCGCCGCGTCTCTGCCGCTCTCCAGTCGCACACGACATGGGACATAGATGTGAATCTTCGCAGGCTTACCTGGGCTGGACACCAGCCCGCCAGGCTGCCCTGCCAGACGCCACGCCTGCCCAGCTTGCGCCCGTCCATCTGCTACAGTGGCGCAGCATGGCCTGGCTCCAGAGAATGAAACGCGAGCACGGATCCCAGACGCATGGCCGGAGATTCAAAGGCCTGTATGGGAAGTGGAACTCGCCCGACTGCCCGGTTCCGGTTGGCTCGCGGATGCTGGACAGCGCAGCAAGGTAGAACGGCTCGCTCGCGCGCGCCCGATCGCACGCCAGCTGCACTGACCCCAATCTCCTCGTGCCTCACGCGAGGCGCTTTTGCATGACGTTTCCTTCAGCGGCTTGACATGCCGCCTCAGGCGCAGGGGAGACCTTGAGGGTACGGTGCAAAGTGCACAGCGCATCATCATCATCACCATCATCATCATAATCTCAGCAGCAGTACCATCAGCAGCAGCAGCATCAGCATCAGTATCACCACCAGCATCAGCAGCATCATCATACTCATCATCAGATTTATCATCATCATCGTCATCAGCATCAGCATCATCCGCATCATCATCATCACCATCACCAGCTGCATCGTGAGAACCACCGTCATCAGCAGCATCAGCATCAGCATCGTCATCATCGTCATCATCATACTCGTCACCAGCATAATCGGCATCATCACCATCAGCAGCATCATCACCACCACCACCAGCATCACCCCCATCAGCATCAGCATCGTCACCGCCATCATCATCACAATCAGCATCAACATCATCACCATCAGCATCAGCACTGTCATCCTTATCATCGTAGTCCTCGCCATCGCCATCATCATACTTGGCAACAGCAGCATCACCATCACCATCACCATCGTCATCATCAGCATTTTCAGCACCAGCAGCAACGTCATCAGCATCATCAGCATCATCATCATCATCACCAGCATCATCAGCATAATCGTCATCACCATAAGCTTCATCATCATCATTATCGTAATCCTTCTCCCCCTCCTCATCATCATCAGAAGCATCCTCATCATCACCCGCCATCATCCTCATCACCACCAACATAGACGAACGATCCTGACGAAGCAACCGAACAGCGATGTGTATAAGCATATCTGGAAGCATCCCGTGTAAGATTCAGGTGAGAATCCAGTTGTAGAATTCGGCTATTCTCGCAGTCGCAGTCGCATTCGCAATGACAGTCACAGTGGCAACGGGCTTAGGATCCAATGGAACCCTAAGGATTCCTAGGGATTCCTAAGGCATCCTTCGGCATCCTTAGGAACCCATAGAAATCCTTCAGAAACCTTGCGAATCCTTCGGAATCCTGGTTCCTAGGAATTCCTAAGGAGTCCGAGGGAAACCTAAGGATTCCTAAGGATTCCTGAAGATGCTTAACAATGCCTACGGACTCCTAAGGATTCCGATGGATTCCTACGGATGCCTCAGCCTGCCTCAGTTTCAGCCTCAGCTTCAGCCTGCCTCCGCTTGCCTCAGCCTCAGCCTCAGCACGCTTCGGCCTCAACCTCAGCCTGCCTCAGCCTCAGCCTCAGCCTGCCTCGGCTTCAGCCTGCGTCACCCTCAGCCTCAGCCTGCGTCAGCCTCAGCCTGCCTCAGCATCAGCATCAGCATCAGCCTCAGCCTGCCTCGGTTTGCCTTAGCCTCAGCCTCAGCCTGCCTCGGCCTCAGCCTGCCTCGGCCTGCCTCAGCCTCAGCTTCAGCCTGCCTCAGCCTCAGCCTACATCAGCCTCAGCCTCAGCCTGCCTCAGCCGCAGCTTGCCTCAGCCACGGCCCTTACCTCTGCTTCTGCCTCAGCCTGCCTTAGCCGCAGCCTCAGCCTCAGCCTGCCTCGGTTTGCCTCAGCCTCAGCCTCAGCCTGCCTCGGCCTCAGCCCCAGCCTCAGCCTGCTTCAGCCTCAGCGTCAGCCTCTCAGCCTCAGCCTGCCTCAGCCTCGGCCTCAGCCTCAGCCTGCCTCAGCCTCAGTCTCAGCCTGCCTCAGCCTCAGCCTACATCAGCCTCAGCCTCAGCCCGCCTCGGCCTTAGCCTGCGTCAGCCTCAGCCTCAGCCTGCCTCAGCCTCAGCCTGCCTCAGCCTCAGCCTCAGCCTGCCTCGGCGTGCTTCAGCCTCAGCCTCAGCCTCAGCTTGCCTCGGCCTTAGCCTGCCTCGGCCTCAGCCTGCCTCAGTTCGGGCATTCAAAATATGTCACAGTACTTGTGTTTTTGGGAGCACGAAGATCACGAAGTGGCCCACAGTTGGTTCCGGGCAATCAAAATATGTCACAGGAATAGTTTTTTGGGAAGACGAAGAACACGAAGTGGCCTACAGTTGGTTCCGGGCATTCAAAATGTGTCCTGGGAGTGGTGTTCTGGGAAGACGAAGAACACGAAGTGGCCTAGAGTTGGCTCCGGGCATTCAAAATGTGGCCTGGGAATGGTGTTCCAGGAAGACGAAGAACACGAAGTGGCCTACAGTTGGCTCCGGGCATTCAAAATGTGGCCTGGGAATAGTGTTTTGGGGAGACGAAGAGCACGAAGTGGCCTACAGCTGGCTCCGGGCATTCAAAATGTGGCCTGGGAATGGTGTTCTCGGAACAGAATCTGTAGGAATCTATACAAAACTATAAGAATCTATAAGAGTCCTGGAGAGTCCCCGGGTTCCCCGGCTTTTCCCAGCACCCGCCCAGACCCCCCTGGGGAGTCAAGATGTTCTCTTTTGAGCCCACTAGAAACAGTGTTCGCTGTTAGGTAACCAAAGGCGCAGTGGGGGGACACAAAAACCCCCGGCACACCGAAAACGCCTTCGCTTTGGCAG